GGAAAACGGGTTTCATTTTTATATATATAGATAAAGATAATTTGATTGGCAACGTTAGTATGTTCCCATGTTTGATGTATATCGGAGCTTTCGATTGACCAACGCAAAAAGTATTGGCTGATCTATCGGTGTTTATTTCATTTTCATTATTTCATTGCATTGGAACTTCGATGTCCATTCAATCTTTACTGCCAATGAAACTTTTTGTTTTTTTTAATGTTTCAATGTTGTTGAGAGTTTAGAAACGTTTGTAATATAATAAAATAATAATACTGTAGTATTATATAAATAATTATACTGTAGTAGAGCAAGGAATCAAATGGATATTATTATGATAATAGGTACCTACGTCGCTAAAAAAGCTTGTTCACTAGTCTATCAAGAACGTTTAACTCAAAGTTCTAGATAATTATTATTTTATATTCTCTAAATTATATCTAACAAAATTTTGATATAGGAAAATAAATATTAAACGTCTTTCTATTTATAAGTATGTATAATAAAAATAATACCTTACCCACCTAAGCATGATAATGTAGCGACTTCAGACCACACAACAGCTTTCTCAGTAAAAAAACCGTAAGTAGAAAACACTTAAATTGTTTATGCCAATAGAGTGGTTACAGCTAATGACTCTATTGAGCTTCTCGGCTGCCAAGTTAAACACATACAATTTTTAAACAACTTCAAAAAGGGGACTTGGGTCATAGATTTGAATTAACCTGTTCTCACATTGTAAATTTGTAATTAACACAGTCTAAGTAATGGAAATGGTTTATGATAGTTATAAGGTGTTGTAGCGTAATGCTATAAATATTACAATGCATGTAAAAACGAATAAATGAAAAAAATAATAAGATAATCAAAAATCCGTTTTATAAATGGGTAGAACTTTATATAATCCATTGTCACATATTGTATCTCGTCATTTTAGATCTCAGAATTAAATAATACTCACTTATATACATTTAATATCAATGCATACATACATTTCTATCACTTTAATATATTTTTTGAGTCATTAATCAATAAAATAAGTGCAGTTAACGCAGATTAATTAGAATAACTACTACGGGTCTCAGTCTCGTGTGTGTGACATAAGTCACAAAGATTTCAAACAAAGCAAAACTGCTAAGAATTTTCAACAAATTATTACTAGAAACTGCGTTCATCCTAATAAATCAAGGGTTCTTGGAAATAAAACATTTTTGCGAGCGTCGTATTCCGCTTCACAAAACAATAGTTCAAACAAAACGAAAATCTATATGTGTTTGGAATGTAACGTTTGAGATGTAGAAACGCCAAACCACATCGCTTGTAACACCGCGAGGCACTCGTGGAATGTTATTAATTATAAGAGCCGCATCGGAAGTTAGGGACGAGCCACAATTAGTAAGCCATGTGGCTCAGAACGAGGCTATTGCTATGTCAAGAGCAGAGTCTAGAAAGAGATTGTAAAAAAATCAGGCCAAATGAGTTACCGTTTACGTGTAAATTAGTGAAACAAAATGACAATAAATACCAAATCAAGCTTACCGATGCAAAAATAAAATACCTAACTATAAACAAGATAAGATTTATAGAAGCTCAGTTAGTCGGGTGTGCATTTATAAATTTTATTCATAATATTCCGAATGTTAGAGCTTTTTTAATCTTAGTAATTATTCTTTTAAGCGCAGCGTAGATTTAGGAGCTGCTATTGACAATGCGATCCGCTTTAAACATTATGCTATTTAGTATAAATTAAAGCTATAATAATTAAAACAGGTCAAGTGCGTGTGGAGCCACGTGCAGTGTGGGTTCCGTAGTTGCCTGTGGTGACCACAATATATTTGAGCAGGAGTCTTTATTCTCTATATCGGAAATTAGAAAAACCAATTAATATCCATGTGTGCATCTCAACTAAAATACCTAAATCAAAGTCAACCTGAGTCTCAAACTCAAAATCAATTCGATATTATTATTTTTTTAAATATTAATTAAATACGAATGATAACCACCGATTTTTTTCCTCCCAGGCGGGGGAGCGCGTGTGAAATCCTCATGGATATCCTACAGCCGCCTGCAAAGGTTATGTTAGACTCTTACTGACTAAAAGCTTCATCTTTTTAAGCGCTGATATACTTTTTATAAAAACGTAACGTTAGCGCGACTCAGAAGCCGTTGCCGTTGGTACTCGTGGTAGAGTTGTGGAACTAATGATATTTTATTGTGGATTTAAATAGTTTTTTTTATTAGATTTTGTTGCAATACAAGGTTTTACTACAATAACTTCATCTATGACACTATTAATGTTTTTCTTCAAAGGAATTTTAAATAGGTTAGAAAGTTTCTGTAACCAAAGTTAAACGACTATTACTCTTAAACTAACAAATATATCAACCGTTATAGTTTTCCCCAAAAGTTCATGAAAACCACCATTATTATGATTTTTTACAGGTTTTTCAAGTCAATAGTTTAGCTTAGAGGGCCCTGCCCACTATGCCTCTACCCTCTACTCAAACAAAAATTAGCACTTTAAAGTTCAATATTTCGCAAATAGATCCCTTAATCAAAAAATAGTCTTAGGATTCTTTCTCTCCACAAACCGAGGACGGACAGATAGACTTGACGTACCTATAGGGGTTCCTTGTCAGGACTACGGAACGCTAAAAAGTAAAAGATTTGGAGTCTACACCAATGCACTTATCATTAGATTCCAGTTTGATACTTAAACAGAGTTGTGTTTTCCTAGTAATAATTTTCTTTCGATTAAGAAATATTAACATGCAAGCAAGCAGCAATATATAAAATTTAATTTACGCTAAATCTCGAATGTGTATACATACACATGGTTTATATGAAATATGAACGATGTTTAACGTGTTAAAACAATATACAACCTCTTTGTAAAATTATTATTTTATTAACACATTCAAAAGCAATACTAAGAAAGTAAAATAAACAATTTAGTAACTGACCGAACTAGAACACGAATAGTTTTGTATCAAATTCCACCGATTGGATCTATTGAGATCGACTAACAAGTTTAAGTGTTTATTTTTAAAACACGCCTGAGTGCTTGGTAATATAGTGACTCTGTAAACATGATCTAAATAAATTTATTTATGAGCTATATTTAGAGATAAGATTACTCGTTTTTTATGAAAACATCTTTAAGTTAGAAGTTTGTTTACAAACATTTGATCCGGATCTTTAAATCGCGGTTTAACAGGTTTGTTCGTAGAATCTTAATCTGAATTATTATTATTTTTACTGAAAAGAGCTGAACTTCTGATCGAGTTTATTAATATTGTAGCAGTCAATTGTTTCTTATGATACTGTACTGAGTTTGGAGAAATAAATTATTCTGATGTTCTGATACCATTAAGGATATTACATTTCTGTGATGCAACATTTACGACTTTACCCCAGGGATCACATATTTTTTAACTTAAAATTTACCTATTGATGAAAAATTTTGTTTAAAATCCTTATTGCTACGTCTCCCGCCTAAGATTTGCGAACCGATGACGTTGCTTTTCGATTTTCATGTGTGTACAAGTCTGCAAAGATTAATCGTTTTTCATTGCTATGAGTGAGTACAAATATTTAAAAAAATATTTTATATTAACACGCTTGTTTAAGAATGATCCCCAAAACCAGTCAAATACAAAGCAAACGATTTATCTTTCAATTCTCATTAAATTGAAACTTAGTTCTCATTAAATATTTAACCACAGGAGTACAGTTCCAAGATTTCTTCTTTTCGTAATTGATGGCACTCATTTATGGTGTCAACGCGTCCCGTGCAATCAACGCTGTGATTGCCCCGCATCGATGCCGTGGTCTTAATGTCTCTCACCCTGGTAGTTTAGTAACGTTAGCTGTCATCGGGTCGGGATTAACTTATTGTGGGACGTGACTGCTCGGGGACTACAAAACATGTGACGGAATAATGTCTTAAAACGGTTTGCTAATAGAAATTTTAATAACGCTACTATTAACTACTAATCGGATTAAACAAAATTGTTTTTTTACTTAACACAGAGAACTAGCTGGTTATTTAATTACGCAAAAACGGCTTAATGTATCAGGATGAAATTTGGAACACATAAATTTATGACTTGGAAACAGTCATAAAGAGACATTTATACCCGAAAAAATGTTTTGTTTCTGAGGGATTCCCAAATAAGTAAAGTTGAAGCGGACAAAGACGCAGTCGGCCGCTTGTAATAAATAAAAATAGCCCTGTTAAAAGATACAAAAAGCCACAATTTCGTAAGTAAAGGTACTCAATTATCATTTGATCACCGGTTTATGTAAATAGCTGCTCGTGACGGCTCCATCGACGAAGGTGGGCAAACAATCAATTAGGACCGCGTTCCAGACGATGCCTCCGAGCTTTTAAAACCTCTGTGAGATCGAGAAGACAAATACTACTAATAAGGTTCGTGTATAGAAGCTGGGAGAACTAATACGGCTGGGCAAACTAAAGTCGTACAAGATACCTTTAAAACTAATTGCTTCATTACGCGGTTTATAATTTGGTAAATACCTCTACGCTATGTATGTATGTATACATTTATTAGTTAAACTACATAAATCAATAAGTATACGATATGGGTTTTGAACATGATCAACTTGTTCTTCTTAATATTAAGCAAAAAATCTTGTTTCAAAAAATTATGCTATTCAAATATACATCTATGTAAAATGATAAGTTGTCTCTTAGGATTGCGAACGCGCAGAAATCCAATTCTCGTGGGAATTCCCAGTGCTTGCTTACATTTAGAATATAAGATATTTTTTATACTAAAAAAGTAGGCTAGTACGGATATATCCAGATGAATCCTTTTATCCCAGTTAGCCACTCTCCTTTTTATTTATAAAATAGTTTTTATCCAGACATTACTAAACATATATATCGCAAGGTATAGTTGCCTACGTATCTTTATATCGTAGTTTTTTTTATCAAATAAGACTACCTATTTGCTCAATCATCCTAAAATCAAAGATACTTACAGGCTATACAGGCTATAAAAGACAATATCTGTTTCATAACCATATCGAGGCACATTTTCTATTATTTCCTGTAAGGAAAGCTGTTATAGAACAAACTAAATGTTATTTTAAGTTTCTTAAACCAAATACACTGTGGCAATGGTTCCCACGTCCAGTTATTATTCCGTGCGGCTCTATCTCGACCTTCTACGAAAACTGTTCTAAAACAGAAATTAGTTTAAAACTCGCACGCGTTAGTTAGAAGTTTAAATATTTCATTACCTCCCTACGTGCAGGTGCTCCCATCCCAACCGGCAGTTTTAGTGAATCGAAAGTTGTATCGGTAACAGCCTTTGTGTAATCGCCAGCGGACAGGGTTTCGTTGACCCCGTTTGTAAATTCATCGCGGGAAGTTTTCGTTGCTAAATTTTGAAAGGTTTCGCACTTTCATGACGTCGGCTTTTACATAGTTTTGATTGAATACCCGGATTGTTTAGACTTGCTATTAGTTTTAGTACTCCGCGTGCTTGCTCAGATAACGGAGAGACTGAAATAAGCCTCGCCAAACATTAATTTTACTTCGCAAATACTTGCTTAGGGTACTGCGTCTTAAACAAAGGTCTAGTTTGGCCCCCAGCAACCGCAGTCGTGAGGTTCTATCGAAACACTTCAGTAATTTTGTAATATTACCATATGAAAATAATCTTGAACGCTTTAGATGACTACAATTTTGGAATCAATAATAGATCATTTAAAAGTTAATGATAGATATTTATGTGCTTACACAATCATGTGATTTTAGCTATAATGAGTACCCACATTCGAAAACATCAATAGTTTGGTGCTAACCGTCTTCTTAACAATAGGTGAGCAGCCAACCATAAAATGCCATTCCATTTGCAATACTATAACTCTTATAAACAGGAGCTTAAGACCCATTATTTACATTAAAAACCGTAACAAGAAATGTGGTGTACTCATAGAACCGTTTCCAATAATCCGAATAAACATTTGGAGGGTGACCAGCATGTGTCACGTGCACGCGTCAATTTTATCACATCTAAAACTCCCATTGCTTATTTTATAGATTGTTATTCTCATTCCCACATCATTCGTATAGTAATCATCCAATTCACAAAGCGACGTTGTTAATCTGCCATAAAAAAACGATGATAAAAAGATGGGATTCTCCTGTAACTAGGTCTAATTCATTCGTATTTAAAATGTGTCGGTGCATTTTATTTGAGTCAGTTTTTAGCTTGGTATTAAATGGGTGTAATAAAAGAGCCATTTCTTTATTACCTGCTACGTATTTAGAGTCTTAAATAAAGGTGTTACCCTCGGAAGTTCGCATTCGCACCGACGAGCGTTTATCATTTTTTCGATCAGAAGCGCTGCCGGGCTGTGTATGGGGTTAGTTGACAGCTTTCAACTCGGGATTAACTTCGTATTGCGACCATAGAGCGAGAAAATATAATATAGCTTTTTTTGAAGTGATTATATTTAGTGATCATTTTCATATAATCCATAGTGGTATGTGCCCAGAACAGTAAGAACAGTAAGTAATTCGTCCTACTTGAAATAAGTACTTATAATATTTTTATAATATTTAAAAATTTATAACGTTATTTGTCTACGCGCTAATATTTGCTGGAATTTTCATCCCGTTTTATCATTAACGTTCAAACAATAAATGCCAGCATACAATAACAACACAGCATGAATACAAATTGCTATCCGAGCAAACATTCGTGAAATAAGTTTCATAAAAGACAATGCATTCAAACGTAAAATCGGAATGAATCGTTAAATGCTAAATCTGATATGTTTTCATTTTCTCTTGGATAAATATTGATAATGGTCCAACGGTTCAATATTGTCTGTAGCAAAGACGAGACAAAAGCTCGGGCTGAAAAAGTTTGTTCTGATACCTATCCAATACAAGTTTGTTAGTTCATCGGATATCTATTTTACTTTGAAATGTTTACTCGCCATTGCTATATTTACCCATTACATATACCTACAGTGTATAGTAATAACGTTTTCTTTGAATACATAGGAGAAATAATTAGAATTTCATTAACATTTAAATTGAAATTATTACTTTCACAATATTTTTGTAGGTATATATGTTTATAAATAAAAATAAAGATTCATTGTTCGCTTTTCCCTGAATATCAAAATTGGGGTTGGTGGTAGAAAATTTAAGGGTTATGTGTATTAAGTGCCAAATTATAAAATAAAAAAAAATGTCGAAAAAAATAAAAAAATGAGGTGGACCACCCAGATCACTTAGGGTTATGAAAAATAGTTTACGTTTTATGCTTAGACCTACTGAATATAGACACAATATTTCATAAGAATCGGTCAAGCCATTTCGGAGGAGTTTTTTTTACAAACACCGTGACACGAGAATTTTGCATATAAGAGTATTTCAGGACCTCGTCGTGTACAATCACCATAACTGCATTAAAACATACGGAATCTTTCATAAGTTGCCAAAATATTTTGTAAGTTATTTTCAAATCTGCAGTATATTAAAATTTGGGTCTTTATATCCTGATAGTTAATCTTACCTGCTGGACAGACGCAGTCTCCATAATCCCGGATGCTCCTCCTCGGTCTCCAGTAGCTGGGAGGTGGTCTCGACAGTACTTCCCTCCGAAGCCTATCTAGAAGCGGTTGCTGTGGCTCCAGTACCGCACTTCTCAACGCCAAGTGCTGTTCCTCTAGCAAAGATAACCGATCTTGTAACCCTTGCTGCTTGTATAAACTATAACCGCTCGAGATCAGGCTCATTGCACATGCACACCACAACACTATACAATACGCCCACGGGTCCCCAGGGCATCTGTCCTCGCATCTCTCCCATTTTTTCTTATTCTCTTTCTGTTTCTTGTCTTCCTTCTTCTCCTCCTTCTTCGTATTCAGAGGCTGCGGCTCCGGTGCGACCTTCGCGCCCGGAGGCAGTTTCCCTCCCATTTTTAAAATCATCTTCGCTCGGATATTCTCATGAAACCACAACAGGTGATCCTTCCTCGGTGGAATCCGCCGCAATCATATTTGACGTTAATGCGGTTAAGCCCAACCTGTGTAAATGGCCCGATACATCGTACACACAATAGCAGCGTCCGGTCCAACGCTTTTCACGCTAACAACCCGCTCTATTCTTCACCGCAATTAGGTTTCAGAATAACCCTAATAATAAACACAAAAAAACACTCTAAAAATAAAACTGACACTCAAGAGAAACGATCAAATAGAACTTTGGAATTTTTGAAACTTCTCCTATAACAGAATATTCTATTTTCAAATTTCGAAATATTGAATCGTGAAATCGTATTCGAGTTCGATAGGTTCGCGCACGAGAAGCGTGACAGCGTCCTACTTGCACGGCAGGCGGAGCGCCACTGGCTGCCAAACCACGAGGCGTGCGCTGCAACGTTAACTTTGATATGGGGCTTCGGAAACATTTGGAAATTCTCGTTTAAGGATACACTTCCACGCTTTATTCGTGTCGTGCCCCTATTTTCTTTATTGGACTTACGGAAGCAATTTCAGGAATGTGTAAAAACGTTGTTTATTCAAGTGTTAACGCGTTTTCATGCAAAAATGTAGCGCATGAATATTTATGCGGCTTTTTGTGGTGCCTATGTACGTGAAGAGTTATGCCGAGAAAAGAATGTTCCCCATATGAGGAGCCTTATTGATGCCATGCTCTCATATGGGCATAAAAGGGATGCGCAAAAAGCTGTAGACATCGCCAAATTGGGCGGCAGCTCGCGCGGAAGATCGGAGGGTGCAGGGGACGGCAATCCAGTTAGCAGGGCTCTTGATGAGCGGGATGCTACGGTCGATACTAAGCTGTGCAATCCCAACTAAACGAAACGCATCCTTACAAACGCTAACTTAAATGGCATTGTGAAAAACTTTAAAAGAATATTAATAGTTAAAATTAGAATTTTATTATAAAAAGAAAACAATTAAACAGTTATAATAGTACAAAATATATTAATCAAAGGAATTTTGTTCTAATAAGACGTTAGAAAATTATGGTAATAAGCTACACGATCTTTAACGTTTCCAACCCGACACGCTTAAGAGATCTCTATCGACATTAATTAAATTTGTACCCAGTGAAAAAAACATGGATGTTTTTTAAACGATAGACCCTATTAATCACTTTAATAGAGTCATTAAAAACAGAGTGGCGGCCTCAAGCGCCGTCCGCCACAAAAAACCGAAGCCACTTGAGCTAGCCGCATGCATTACCGACCTTTCTAATAAACTACTCATAATAAAATCAAAAGATAAAACCCGATACTTTTTGATACATTGGATCTAAATGACCATCTCTGTTTTGATTATTTACACAAATATTTTCTTGTTCAGTGTTATGATACTTTAATTGGCTTTCGAAAAGTTTTGATGACACATAATAATAAATAATTTACTATGCCTGGGATTGTCACTCGCTTAAGTATGTATCTCCCCCTTGTGTTCGAAGTCGTAGCTTCATTAATATGTTAAAACTCAACGAAAATGGTCCATTGGCGACGCAATCTGCAGCACCCGAGTCGCAGACAAATAGCTGCAATTAAAACTAGATTGTCGTTATTTAGCAGAGTGGAGTGCGGACGTGTGCGGCCGACGATTCATCTCTGCCCCTGCGCTCGTATAAATTTAATTTAAACTTTTGTACTTCGTCAAACGTTGAGTTTAAGACACCCTCGCGCGATGACAGCACTGCTCCTTTTTTTAATTTAATCCATTGCTGTGTTTTAAATATTTTACAAGCAACTCCCTGAGTTCAGAAGTTTTGCTGGAAATTTCTAAGAAGTTGGGTATTACTAAAAGTTTTTGTAATGAGTATGGAGCAGTCCCACCATTGTCGAGGGAAATCTGCGGAAGTGAATGTACTTCGGGTTTGTACTGCGCACGTTCATTCGTTTGCGACAACAATGATTTTTGTTTAAGAAGGGTGTACCTTGTAAGGCGGATCTATTATTATCATAATATCATTATGCATATTAGCGGATGGCATCAACTTCATTTCTTATAAAATCATTTGGCCTTTTGGCCAAAATTTTGCGTTTGAATAATTTGTTCTTAAATATTTATAACGTTAATTATAATAACGTTATAATGATCTGGCTTAGATCATTTTTTATACATACGTTAAACACCCTAGTAATCCTATTATTAACGCGAAAGTTTGTATGAATGTTTTTACTCTTGCACGCTAAAACGACTGTACAGATTTGAATGAAATTTAGCATATATAAATAGTTTATTACCTAGATATTAAAACATAGGAGATTTTGTAACTCGGTAAAATTTTAAGTTTCTGTGGAATTAAAAAAACTAATTTAACGCAAAGGAAGTCTCAGGCGCGGCAGCTAGTCCACAATAATTAAAAAGTAGAACCAACATATCAAAGAAAGTTCACAGTTAGAATTGTCTTTTGGCGTACGAATATTTAACTTTTTCATTGTTTATTTATGTACTAGCTGACCCTGCAAACGTTGTACCGCTTACAATAATTTGGAAGAAATGAAAGCTATCCGTCTGGCAGGAACACTGCTTTTAGCATAGTAAGCGATTGTTTGAAAGAATCTTAATTCTGTAGATTGTCGTTCAGCAATAAAACTCTCCATTTACTGCCAGCTGAAAATTCATTACATAGTTCTACTTTATTGAGCAAGCCCTTATTTCATTGACATTTGTAAATCTTGAAATAACTGTCACTGTTTAGCGGAAATCTTTCGACATTAAATTCATTCCACCCCCGATACATCTTAATCTATCTAACTACATGTTTTTCTCAAAATATAGTCTTTCCTGTAAACACTTCAACATGTCGGCGACATCAAATATATCGGAATTGTTGTCGATAATAACATGTCCTTTAAATTACACGTTAAAGTTCTGTGTGGTAGGTAAGAAAAGCCTCAAAGTCCTTGAGCTGACTTTACTAAAGCGTATTTATATAGTCCTATGTCAATCAATATTGACATAATGGTATTACAATATGGGGTGAAATGCCAAAAACTAATTTAAAAAGTGTGGAAGTCGCGCAGAAAGTGGTCCTAAGTGTGTTTACTTTTAAACCCTACCTGAATCCAACTACGGTTCTTTATAAATATTGCGAGGTCTTTAGCGTCAGGAAGCTCTTTGTTTTGGCTATTATAATTAAAAAAATATATTGAAATTGTTAATGACCCGACAGTGATGCAGAAGCGTAGAAGGGTAAAACATTGTTTGTAAACGTTTACACAGAAACTACAGAATCGTCTACGCTCAACGCTCATATCACCTTTTGAGTAGTCATATTTATAATAAGATCAGTAAGTCTATTACCATCGTACACCTCAACAAATATAAAGTTAAAAGATGATCACTAAGTTTTTACTTTCACTAGATTGCGAAAAAACTGAGGAATTGGTTGCTACGGCCCTATAAATATAAATGCTTATGATTATATATACACATACGCACCACACACATATATATACACACACAAACACACTTATTATATTTAATGTACTGTAATATTTATTAACGTAAGAAAATATGGTCCTTATGTTATTTGCATGGCTACATTGCAAATAAAATTGGGGAAGGGCGCCGAAGCCAAAATACAGGATAAACTACCTAGTTTGGCTAAGAATTTCTATGTGTACTTTATGTGAAATAATGGCCTTAGTTTTAACATATTTATAAGAATATTGCCATGTACAATTTGAACAGATAAATATTATTATTATTATCACTTATTTGGAGCGAATGCCAAACTAATAAGCTTAGCTTGCACGCGTTTCGTGATGTCAGTTGTCAATTGCGGAAGACGACGGAATAACAAACTTAATTTTAAAAAAAGCCTTAATTCTTTTCCGTTACTTTTAGAAAATTTTCTTTTGTACCCGACAATAACGACACAATAAAAAAACAATTATCTAATTTGGTTCCGTCGTTCGGAAGTGAAGCGCATACATAATTTAGGACGATTCATTTTTGTTTAGATTATATAATTATGGTGATAATTTTGGGTCACCACACTTACCTAACTTAACCCACAACCCTTCGAGCAGTGATTATGCTTAACAAAATTGTGCAGAATATTTTTTTCCTAAATTATGTAATAATAATAATAATAAATTTTTATTGGCTTGAACAAAAATGTGATTTTAAACTAATGACCTGCATCTCCTTTTAAGCTTAAATAGCCTGTGTCAGGAGATACAGCTCTTCCTTAAAATAGATAATTATAACAATCCAATAAAATCTAAACAAACCATGACCAAGATCTAATTAGTTTAGACGTTTGGTGTTTATGCCTACATAACTGTATATGTGGGAGTGAGTGTTTGTATGTATTTTGTATGCATGTGTGTGTGTGTGTATGTTGGTGTAGTGTGTGTGCGTATATATGTGTCTTAGTATGTGCAAGAATACTAGGTTCTGCTTAATAGTATCTCGATTTCATCATATGTTTTAGCTGTTAACCATTTTATCAGTAGCTCTTTGCATTGATAATAAATTTTATCATATACATAAATATATTTATTAATGGTGTTGTATATGTGTATAGATCGACTATTGAACTGACTGCTAGCAAATAAAGTGTTGGTTCTAGGAGCACGTATAATAATGTCTTTCCTTCTCCTTTTTGAAATCTTAGGGTCATACGTTAGAGACTTATGTTTTTTTAGAATAACATGAACTATGTACAGCTACAGATAATAAATTACTAATTTTGTAGAGGCATTCAGTAGAAAATCGCTTTTTTTTAAAATACATGACCTTAATGAGACTTCGCTGAGCGCGCTCAACATCAATAAAACGCGTTTTGGCTGCGCCACCCCATACAGGTATGCAATATGTCAATATAGATTGGGCCAACGAATTAATATTCTATTATAATAATAAACGAATAAATTTCTTTAAGGAGATCTCTTACTGAACCACAATCACACTTATCC